GTCTCTAACCCAGATGTGACAGTGGAAGATGCTGTGGAGCAGATAGATATTGGTGAGTTGTAGCTTCAGATCATTAAATTAAACTTAATTTATAACTGCATACAAATAATGCTACTCAAAGATCACTGTCACATTGCATTAATAACTATATTTTCTCTCTATTTCACTAATAATAAAAGATGCTGTGTTTATTTGCAAGTGCAGTTAAAAAAAAATGTTATTTTGTCTTTCCGCCCAGGTGGCGTAACTCTGTTGAGAGCAGCAGCCAAGAATCACGCTCGGGTCACCATTGTGTGTGACCCTGCTGACTATTCGCTGGTTGCCAAGGAGATGGAGAGTTCAGGAGACAAAGATACAACTCTGGAAACACGCAAGACCCTGGCGCTCAAAGTAACATGACCTATTATTTCTTTTCCCTATCATTTCATCTGGCAAGTATATGAACTGAATTTGATTCATACAGTCTTAAAATGTACTCTTTTAAACCTGTCGATACCCCTGTTTAAGTATAGCAACAGTAACAAGTTTGGGACATTAAAAAAGGATCAGATGACTCCTGATGTGTCACAATCCTGAGTTGAACATTTTACATTCGGAAGGACTGAAACTGTGTTACTGTCAGCCTTACTTGATCTTCTTATCACATGTGCCTCAAACATCCGTTAGTCCCGCCCCCGTCACTGTTCAGGCTTGTTCCCAAAAAAAATTTAAATAAGAGGTGAATCATACCTTTGGCTTTTTCAATAAATGAGCAGGCGTCAGTCTTACAATGACAGTTGTATAATAGGAACCACATGCTGTTAGATTCTTACGAAAATTAGTGTCCAGAAGCAAAAATCAGTTAATATAATGAATATTTTGATCTTGTCACCCAGTTTAGGTAATTCTCATACATAGTCACTAAATTGTCTTTCTCAGTACTGATTTAACCCTGGTTGTTCTGTTTTGTTTGTCTTGCACTGACCCACACTGACCCTCAGCTCTAAACAAAGTCCAGTGTAGGCTTTTTATCACAAGTGTTGAAACGTGTTTAGGTTACAGAGTTTAACATTTGACGACCTGTGAACTTTGTTCTCGTAGCCAGACTAAACCAATCATTGAGTTAAATAGATCTGTTTTATCTCCGACATTGTGTTGCTTTGGGTTGATGCCTACATAAATAATGCAGGTATAGTTGTCATGTATTAAACTCCAAATTGTCAAACGATGAGTTGTAAGTGCTTTGAGGTTTTTAACCGTGGCTCTTTGGTACACATTAGAAGATGATGCATTAATGTGGTTCGTCTCATATTTTATGTTCTTTGCCCTTCAGGCTTTCACGCACACAGCACAGTATGATGAGGCCATATCAGACTACTTTCGTGGACAGTACAGTCGTGGTGTTTCCCAGCTGCCTCTGCGCTATGGCATGAACCCTCACCAAGCACCCGCCCAGCTCTACACCCTGCGCCCAGCGCTCCCCCTCAAAGGTAGACACGCATCGCATAACAAATGTCCCAGCGTACCTAAAATGTGTCCATGTTGGCATCGTTTAGGGATTTTTCTTTAAAAGAGTAGCTCAACATTTTGGTTAATACACTTATTTGCTCGCTGGCAGAGCATTAGTGTTAGATGAGAAGATTAATACCACTGTGTCACATTGATGGCTTCAATATAAAGCTGCAGCCATGTAGCTTAGCTTTTCCTGTTCCCCCTCTCAGTGGTCAACGGTTCCCCTGGCTTTATCAACCTGTGTGATGCTCTGAACGCCTGGCAGCTGGTCAGAGAGTTAAAGAGCGCTCTTGGCATGGCTGCTGCCACCTCCTTTAAACATGTCAGCCCTGCTGGTAAGACCAAAAGAGACATGCAGACACACACACATAACAGTATAAATGTGGACTTGGGATTAAGTGCCTTTTAAATGTGAAAATTACCCTTTTATCTTTCTACTGAAGGAGCTGCAGTAGGAGTTCCTCTGACTGAGGAGGAAGCCAAAGTGTGCATGGTGCATGACATGCTGAAGGATCTCACCCCATTGGCCACAGCCTACGCCAGGGCAAGAGGTCAGAGCAAGTGAATTATATAGCAGATAGCCTGGAGTATGTTATATCTTGATTTTTTTTTTTTCTCTTTCATTTGTATGAACTCCTTCTACATTCCCAGGTTCTGACAGGATGTCTTCTTTTGGAGACTTCATCGCTGTGTCAGATGTGTGCGATGTTCCCACTGCCAAGATTATATCAAGAGAGGTAAAAGCAGTGTGTCAAAAGAACAAAAACAGATGGAGTGGTTTTTGTTCTGCTTTAAAAGGATTCAATTTGATTGCTCTCAGGTGTCAGATGGTATCATTGCTCCTGGTTATGATGAGGAAGCGCTCAAGATCCTCTCCAAAAAGAAGAATGGCAACTATTGTGTGCTTCAGGTGAGAGATTTTTAGGTTAGGTTGATTTAGTATCAGCTAAGTCAAATTTTCAGTTTGATTAAAAATGCGTGCCTGTGTCCCAGATGGATCCAGACTATGAGCCTGATGAGACGGAGGTGAGAGTGTTGTTTGGTCTCTATCTCAAACAAAAGAGGAACGGAGGGCTTATCGATAAAGAATTCTTCAGCAACGTTGTTTCCGAGGGCTCTGTGAGTATTTACCTTCATATTGTATTTCTGGCTCATCCTGTCATTTTAAATCATTCTTTTATTATTAGCACAAACCTACCTGAAGTAATCCACCCTTTTGATTGTCTGTGTCCACAAGCTCTCCGAGGAAGCTGTGCGTGACCTCATTGTGGCCACCATCGCTGTCAAATACACTCAGTCCAACTCTGTCTGCTATGCTAAAGACGGACAGGTAAGAACAGGTAAAAACAGGAGAAGTGATTCTGGAGGAGCTGTAAGTTTTTCTCAAATATTTTTTTCTTGTCTGTATTACAGGTTATTGGTATTGGTGCGGGTCAGCAATCTCGTATCCACTGCACACGACTGGCAGGTGACAAAGCTGATAACTGGTGGCTTAGACATCACCCGGGTGTCCTGAACATGAAGTTTCGTGGCGGTGTGAAGCGAGCGGAAATGGCCAACGCAATCGACCAGTACGTCAGCGACACCATTGGAGAGGTAAGGGGGTAACAACTCGTAAGATAAAGGCAGTAGTTAAGTTGTCCTGTTACAGATCGGGCGTGATGGGATATTTTTAAATACAGAAAATTTACAAGCTGATCAATTGCATCTTGTAGAGGAATTATAAAGAATATTGTAATTCAACAAACATCTGTTCTGTCCCATTGCAGACTTTGGATTGAGACACAAATACAGTGCCACAGTGCAGGCTTAGGGCTAGCATGTCTAGCAGAGATCATCTTTGTTTATTTTGTAAACCAGTTCCTACAGTATTTATCAAGTGGATAATAATGTTAGCTACCACTCCAAACAGAGCTATGGCTACATTAGATTTCACTTTATTTCTTCACTTGGAAAGATGAATTAAAATTGTAGGCCATCAATCACACACAGTCCACCTGTGTGCTTTGTGATGTCTGATGTCAGTGTTATGCCAAGTTTGAGACATTGAAATTAAGTGAAAAGTGTGGGTATTTTGTGTTGACAGGGCCCAGACTTGGAAGTTTGGAAGTCCATGTATGAAGAGGTGCCTGAGCTTCTGTCAGAGACTGAAAAGAAAAACTGGATCAGCTCCCTGAAGGCCGTGGCTGTCAGCTCTGACGCCTTCTTCCCCTTCAGAGACAACATAGACCGTGCCAAACGGGTAAATATAACACACCTTTCATAAAAGCATGGGTTCATATTGTATGCACTGTGTTAAGAAACTGCATGGGAATGGCCTGCAGACACCTGCTTACGTATCATTACTAGTTTGGAAACTCTATTAACTCTTAAAACAGTTGTGTACTGACAAGCTTTCCAACCATCTTTACTAACGTTTCTTTCCTCTGTGTGTCCGTCTGTAGAGTGGTGTTGCGTACATTGCAGCTCCAGCGGGCTCTGCTGCTGACAAGGTTGTGATAAATGCCTGTAATGAGCAGGGCATCACTCTGGTGCACACCAACCTGCGGCTCTTCCACCACTGAGCACCTCAACACTTTTCCAGGTGTTTTAAACTCCCCTCACAGTTTAGCATTATTACAGAGTCAAAATCTTTTTCTAACATTGCTGATATTCAAAACATTCCTACTCTTGTCATTCTGAAATGTAGAAGTAAAAAGAAAAGCACTGTTTTGTAACAAATTAATTGCATTCCTGACTTGTGGTGCTAACATGGAGAGAAATACAGTAACTGTTGATGTTTATTCTAGGTCAGTTATGTTGGGGTGTGAAATAAACTGTTGAAGACCGTTCATGAGTATTTTGTCTGTTTTTTAGCCATGTTAGCAGTGAGGGATGACCATGTTGGTTCTCAATCCACCACTTTGGTCCAGAGTTAAATATCTCAACAACCAATTGATGGACTGCTGTGAAATGTTGTACTTGGTTCCCAGAGGATGAAGCCTACTGGTTTTGGGGATCCCCTGACATTATCTTAAACGCCACTAGCAGGTCGACATTTTTGGAATTAAGTGAAATATCTACATTTTTTTTGGGTGGATTGCCATGAGCAAATGTTGGCGTGCTAACATGCTCAACTAATACAACAGTATACCTACTAAACATCAGCATGTTAGCACCGTCATTGTGATAATATGAACATGCTTCCATTAGCATTTAGCTCAAAGCACCCCTGTGCCCAAGTATAGCCTCACAGAGCCACTAGCATGGCTCTAGACTCTTTAGTCTTGATGAAGAAGTTGTTAGATGATCCCATTTTAACTGAATTAAATTTATATTGAGAGAACTGCTTTCATAACCGCACAAATGGCTGCAGTCTTTTAAGACCCTTTATCTCATATATCTTGTTTTTTCTTTTTCTTCTTTGTGGGCCTTTTGAGAGTGCAATATAGAGAAATGGAAATGAAGGGAGCCCCTCAGCAACCAGCCAAACTTCTTAATTAGAAAAAAATGAAAAAACGTCATTGTGATTCGGTTTTAGGATCTCTCCAGCTTTATTAAAATAAGGGACCTCTTTTTGTCAAAGGTAGAAACAACTTTGGCACGGACAACAAAGTACAAAAATAGAACAGTTCAAATTCTCACATCCCAGTTCACACATTCGCACGTTGAGATTAAAGGGATAAATTAGTAAAAAGACAAGAGTTCATAATGTGTAAATCACACAGTGCGACCCCTCAGTAACAGAAGAAGGGCTACAGAAAAGAAAAGCACATTTTCATGGACAAACATTTGTTAATAACTACATTGACATTCTTTAACACAGTACTTACTTTCTGACAGTTTCTGCTCTATGATTGATATGATTTTTTTTTCTGAATAGTTAAATGAAAAAACAAATGCCAATTTGCTAATTTGACTGGTGACAAGTCCTGAATAACTTCCATTGAGGTTCACACAAGTACGTGGAGGGAAATGTCCCACGTAAAAGAAAATGATAATGGCAGGAGTCTGCATCTTCCAATCGAGCATGAATTTAGAGACTTGAGTCAACAGTGAAAAGACTGGCTTTAGAAGAGGATCATTTTGATCAGGCAGCAGGTAAGTTTAACATCTTTAGCTAAACGTGTCAGAAAGTGATTAGTTCAGTTCAGTCGCAGACAGCATGGCTTCTACAGGGTGAGACAGTGCAGCGGTGAGGGAGCAAAGCAGATGTCAAATGATCGATCCTTTACTCCCGAGGATTTGGAGGAGCGTGTGCGTCTGCCAGCAGCTCGGGTCGGAGGCACTCAATGGGGCAATGAATTTTCTGGAGGAAGATTTGATGAGGTGAGATCACATGCTTAGGTACAAACATCCCATATTTTCATTAGATTTAAAAAAAAAATGATATTCTGCTGACCTTGAGTAGTGTGTTGTCTCCATATCTAACAGGCTGCAACAGACTGGCATCAACATCAGTACCTGGTCTGCGGCAATTCTCACAACGCCAGCCCTGATAAGACCAAACATGCACAAGTAAGTGTATTAAACATGCTTCATTTCACTTATGATGACACTAAACATCAGACACAAAGCCAAGGGAGGTTGAGGTTTCGTACCTGCTGTCCTCCAAAGCAGGTGCAGGTGCAGATAGCACCAAGGTACTCCTTCTGCCACTGGTTTCCCACCTGATAAGCTTTGCCATCATCATAGCACACTGAATCATCTGTGTGGGCACAGATATATGTTAAAATTCACATGCATCTCCTTGACACACTGTTGAGACAGATATACTGTAGAACATTTCCTTGAGTCTTAAGTGGTCTTACGCGGTTCACACTTGAACTCTCCTTTGCCATTTCCCAAGCAAGTGCAGCTCATCAAGTGACCATTTTCTGCACGGCGGTCCCACTTCTCTCCAATGCGGTAGTTGTTGCCATTGTCATGGCACCACTCTAATGATGGACAAAATAATAGTCAGAGCAAGTGAAATATACTCCAAATAGGCTTAAAAAAACATACTATACCCCAAAAACTTACTGGATGAATCACATCTGAAGTGGCCACTGCCCAGGCCCAGGCACCTGCACCACAGCTTGAAGCCTGTCTCAGACATCCGCTCCCATTCACCACCAACATCATGGTAGGTTGCAGTAAAGGCATCATAACAAGAGTCCTTAGTGGAGGGGTCTCCCTCTGGGACTGAAAGAAGGGGAAGGAAAAAGATTTGTGTAAACCACTATTTACTAATTGAATCTAATCTGAATGAATTTATTTTGGGCCATGATGGTTTTTATTTAGTTACTTGATGATGATATGTCTCATCACTATTGTATGATCCAAGATGATGAACTAAAATGTAAAAGGTTTCATTGCACAGCTGCAGCTAATAAATAACAAAGTTTAGGGTAAGCTAAAGAGCAGACACTCACAACAGTCAGTACTATTTTTGCTACTTTCTAAATGCAACTGGAATTATTTACTAAATAAAAAAAGTTCTATTACAGAAGACAAAGTCTGAGAAGATGAGTGGTGAATATGACTGTTGATGAACTAATGGAATTAATGTTTTATAATGTATATTATACTATTGTAGTTATATACTATAGTCAATGTTACATGTAAAAGTGGAGGACGTTCAGTAGGTTATATTAACCAGGGAACAGGAAGGTTCACATGTGCCCCTGATACCATTCTTCTTGACACAAGTGCCCCAAGTTAAGTAGCAGGAGTTGCTTTACACTGAATTTTGAATAAATTTAGCCTAGTTTGGACACAGTAGTTGCTGTAGGATGCTTACTTGTGTTTCCAGCAGTGATGACCTGCTCCAGAATCTTGTGTTTGAGCGCCCCCAACAGAGCCTCTACGATCACATTATAGTTCGCTCCGGGGGTGAGTCCTATCAGAGTAGCTGTGGTGGCGGTGCCTGGCAGGCGGACCTGGACAGGCAGAGAGAGAAAAGGTTTGTGCTCATGGAATAAGAGATTTCATCATTATATGACATTCAGACAGCATGATGGACTAGGCTGAAAGCATCGGCCCTAATCTCTTACCTGGAACATCTTCTCATTTAATTGTGTGAGAGGCTGGCAGGACACCAGGTAGGCATTGCTCTGGCTGTAAGGCTTCCAGGAGATGGAGGTTTTAGTTTGGGCCTCCTGTGGCAGTCCCGTCTCGTTACCAAACGTGGAGCCGGCGGGCACATTCAGCTTCAGGATGGGCAGTCTGCGGCCCTCTGCATCAGGAAGGGGTAAAAACACCAGGGGCTCACGAACTTGCCCATAGGGAGACAGTGGGCTACCACTGCTCCCATCATATCTGTTGTCTCCATTGTTGTTGAACTCTGTGTACTCCACATGCTGGCTCTGACCACTATTCCCATCCTGGCCACCGTTGCCCACTACCTGGACTGTGTTGTCCAAGTCAGTTTCAGGCACATCCAGCCTGTCACCTCCTGGGCGGGGGGGACGGGGCAGGGGAAGCAAGGAGTCTGGGTCTGGGCGGGAGAGATGGGGTTAGGGAAGCAAGCAGGTTAGACGAGGCAGCAGGTAAAGCACAGCTGTAGTAACATATCTCAGCCAACAGGGGGCAATGTATAAGCAGCATCGCTTGGGTACTGCTTCACGGCAAAGTGTGTCTTAATGCAGTATTACGAACACACAAGGTATTTTGAATGGCATTTCTGAAGGCATTCAAAATAAAAAGTGGTATTACTGTTTTAGGAGCCTAATGCTGATTTACTGCACAGTTTATCTCAAGGCCTCTGAGCTATAACAGCAGGTCTGGTTTCAGCTGAGCAGATTAAAGCTGCCATTCAAACCTCAACATTGTATAGGACGTTTACCCACAGCTCATTGGAATTTCAACACTTTAATACATGATCACTTTTATTATCACATCTGTCACTGTATAGTGCAGATGTCTCAAAATACTCACTAGTCCTGATTTTTCCGACCAGAGGTGTGCTCCTCTGTGTGTTCTGGATGGCAATGATCTTGATGATGTACTCTGTGGCTGGTCTCAGGCCTGAGGAGAGGAATAATTATCACACAGTTGGCATAGGTTGCAACTGACTCATGATTACATGTAAGAGATTGATATATTGGTGGAGCCTGTGGATCTAAAACTTTATTTTTTTTTTAAACAAAATGGAAATTAAAAATAAAAAGCACTAGATAGAGCGCATACCAGATATGGTGGCATAAGTTTGGCCGGCATGGGGTCGTGGGATGAGCTCTCGTGGTCGTCCTTCTGACTCCTCGTAGGTGATGTAATATCCTGTGATGTGTGTGGCAGGTGGCTGCCAGGTGAAGGAGATGGAGGTGGGAGTTAAAGATGTGAACTGGAGGTTGGTAGGAGCCTGGACCACTGGTTGAGCTATGGAGAAAAAAAGGTTAGACCATCTGATAGTCACAAAAGGCTATATACATTTGTTTTTACATATGCATATCACATTCATAAAGAAAACAGAGAGATCAGACAGAAATGTGCGAGGTACCTGTTTCAATAATGAGAGTAAAGGGGGCGCTCTTTGTGCGGCCATTCAGAGTATACAGGCTAACAGTGTACGTGGTGCCTGGCTGCAGACCTTAGAAAAACAACAAAAAAACACTGTGAAGCAAGACTGAAACACCAAAATCACACTTCCAAAAAATCTGTAAAGAGATACCACTGTTCCAGTGTAAAGATCTGTTTAGCAGGAGGGTGTGATGTACCTGTAAAAGTGTAGGTGTTCAGATCTCCTGGGATGGTCTTGCTGATAGTGGGTTGCGAGCCGCTTCTGGGCGTGGCTTCAATGAGATAACCAGTGATGGTTTCGATTTTGGAGCGCCAGCTCAGCGTGAAAGATGTATCCTTTACATCAGAGATACGCACACGCCGAGGAGGACTTACATCTACAGCGAAGAGAAGAGAAAACAGAATAAAATAGAGCAGTGGATAATAATTAGTGACAACTGGAAATGTGTCCATTTATGGCGCTGCCAGTTACCTTCCAGCGTGGTCGTCTCTCCCTCCAGCGGTCTGCTGGTGACTGAGTCCTTCAGAGCATAGACATGTATCTGGTATGTGGTTGCCACCTACAATACACAGACATACAGTTGATATTCACTCACTTACTGACTATGAATCTATGTAAATACTGAGACAAGACCTCTGTTTACCATGAGCCCTGGTACGACGACACGTGTGGTGTCGGGAGCAACATTCATCTCTTTGGTGGGGCCGTTGATGTTCTTGGGGTTGACGACCACACGGTAACCTGTCAGGCGTGCACTGGGGGCTTGCCATGAGACGGCGAAGGAGGAGGGACTGACATCTGAGATCACCAGGCTGGTCGGAGCAGGGATCACTGAGACAGCAAAACCCCATTTAGAATTGCTGTCGGGGAATTAAGTCATGAATGTGTTGATGTTTTTTATGTATTTCTACCTGTGGCCTGGGTTCCCACCAACGGCGGGCTGGGTGTGCGGTCATGGAGGGCGATGACTTTAACAGTGTACTCTGTCCCAGGGCGAAGGTTTCTCAGCACCACACTGTTCTGGTTACCTCTGGGTGCTGGACGATGCTCTCTCTCCCCCTCCTCTGAGCTGGAGTACAGCACACGGTATGATGTCACAGTACCGTCTGGACTGTCCCAAGTGATGCGCATGGAGGTGGCGTCGATGTCAGAGAAGGTCAGGTCCTTGGGACGGTCCATAGCTACAGGAGAGGACAGAGACGGGAGGTCTTCATTTCAGCTCTGACCAGTTGTTTTTAATGAATGAAGGTACAATTCTAAGGCTATAATTAGATCTTAAAGCCTTTCTTAGATAATTTTTTACTGAATTGAGTCAAACTAACCAGTGATAGCATTCTCCACCACAGGGGAAGAGGGTTGTCCATCATTGCCCAGAGCATAGACACTCACAACATACTCAACAGTGGGCATTAGACCTGTGAAAGTCATCTCTCTCTGATCTGTAACACGGGAGCAGAGAGGGAGCCAATGAGTAAAGGATATTGTTTGGAAAAATATAAAATTATATATCAAATTACCATGACAGCCTGTTTCTGAATAGCTGTTTTTTTGTCTTACCAGGGGCCACCACCTCAGAGTAGGAGGGTCCCAGGCCATTCTTGGGGACACTGGTGATTCTATAGCCTCGAACTGATCCCTGAGCAGGAGACCAGCGTACTGTGATAGCATTGTCACTCACATCAGTCAATTTCATATCAGTGGGGGGCTCAGTATCTAAAGGAGAGATGGACGCAGTATGAGTATTAGATTAACCCTTCAACAATTTGATTACAAAATCTAATACTTTTAAATGCTGCTTTACCAGTCCTGTGTGTAATGTAGACTGGGGTGTTGGAGGCAGGGCTGTCCCCTCTTCCAGAAACAGCATAGACTGTGATGGTGTAGTCAGTACCAGGCTTCAAACCAGTGATAGTGGCAGTGGTCTGAGAGCCTGGGATTATGAACTCTTGAGGAGTCTCGCCACCTAGAGAGTGAAGAAGTGTTAAACATCAGAATATGACTCAGGTTTAAAGGAAACTATTAATTAAATTACATGTACGGACTTGCTCCTCCATAGGTGATCCTGTAGTTCTTCACTGTGACGGAGGGGGCATCCCAGCGAATGGTGATACTGGTGGGGGTGGATGATGTTACCTCCAGGTCAGTGGGAGCATCAGAGACTGGAGAGGAAAGGAATGAAAAAAAATAGAAAATAATTGATCAAGATTCAGCTGAGGAATGTCACTAAAGAGGAAAAGGAGAGGTGACAGTAGAAACCAATGTAGAGACTCACTGGTGGCCTGTGTGCCAGTCAGAGGCTGACTCTCCTGATTGTTGCTGACAGCATACACATATATCTGATACTCTGTCTCTGGTGTCAGTCCAGTCAAAGTGAAGTAGTTCCTGGTTGGGGGCAGCCTCTCATCCTTGGCCCGACCGCCGCTCGTCTGCTGATAGCGGATGCGGTAGCCGGTGATGGCAGAAGTTGGAGCCAGCCAGTGAACGGTGAAGGAGTTGGTTCCAATTTCAGAGAAGTCCAAGCCAGTGGGGGAATCCAAAGCTGTGTGAAAAGGTATTGGAGGTTGAGAAAAATGTTACATTAAAATGTATTGGGGTGCCCTGGTAGCTCACCGGGTATACATTTAGCTACTAAATATATATATATATATATATATTTCTAATTTCACAGTATCAGTTTTTATAAGTATCTGTCATACTCACTTGTCCTCTGAGTTCCTGTGGCTGGTTGACTGGTTCGTTCACCGTACACACAGAAAACACTGATGCGGTACTCAGTGTTGGGAAGCAGGTCTAAAAGAAAAAATTACATTGACAATGACATGGAAAAAAAGTAAGAAAAAACAATTTTGGACATTAAAGCCAGCATTCTGTCAGACACGTTTAAACAAAGATGATCCTTATGTTGTCTTACTCTGCAGAAGGAAGGTGTTCGTGGCTCCACCAACATTAACCTCTTTGATGTCATCATCGGTGGCTACAGGGTGGTACTGGATGACAAACCGAGAGATGTCGCTCGCTTTGACAACATGGGGGACTGCCCATGTCACTCTAATGTGGTCAGGACCCACCCCTCCAAACTGCAGGTTGGTGGGAGCTGGTAGGGCTGGCAGAAAAAGGGGTTAAAAGTTATAGCTAACACAGGAAAAAGAGGTTAACTAAATAAAATTAGAAAGAAAATATCACTGATGTGATAAATGTCTGAAATTTACTGTAGCTTTTGAGTTCATCATGTGTATTAATAAAAGGGCTATTTATGTGCCTTCATCAATTCTCTCAGATCAAAACCTGATGGAGTGAAAGAGTTAAATCACCAGCTTGTGTTTGCTTTGTGTATGTGGTCGGTTCGCTTTCGCCCTCTTCTGTAAGAGTGAAGATACTGATGTCATAGTCCACGCCCGGCTCCAAACCATGAATCGTGTAATAACCAGCAGATGCTTCCACCATATCTTGAAAAATTGGCAAGCTCTCGCCTGACGCTACTACCGTTATCCGGTAAGCAGTAATGGTAGTATAGTTCAGAGGGATCCAGCGCAGGCCAATGGCGGTGTCACTAATGTCGACAAAGTCAATGTGACTTGGTTTGGGGATGTCTGCAAGGGTTAGGTCAGTTGCAAAGCGCAAGCAAAATTAGACAGACAGAAAGACTGAAAACCCATAATAATTACATTGGTTATATCAAAAACATTCAGATCATTCCCAATACAGCAGTCGGAAATTCAGAGTGCAACCGTAGCCATGCTGGATAGAGATAATTACAAATGTATCAAGTCAATACACATTCAGAATTTATTTTATAATTAACTTTATAATTAAATCACAGATTAAGACTACTGTTGTGGGCATGCTCCAACACAAAAAAATAAATAAAAAAATCACCATCCCAATTAATTACCATGATCTCCATGCATGACAGGTTAGCCAAGGACCATGTTAGTAGGATATGATAATTAAAGGTGCATTAAAGAATGTATTTTTTTTAAGACTCTAGTTGGATATTAGCAGTAGGCACTTGCTTTCAGCAAACAAGCTGTGATGAACCTACCGCATGCTATCTGCCCAGTACGATATGGCTGATAGACAAAGTTAACAACTACCTTGGTGAAGTTGAACATCTATAAACTGGGATATTTTTCACAAAAACAACTTCCAATGGGATGATAATGTTGCTCTGTGTCTACTAGTAGGCATTGTTCTACTAACCCATTGGACAACATTATAAGATAATGTCAGAGCTGTGAGGTTAAAGTTATTCTGCCACAACTCTATTCATGCAAGTTTAAGAAAAAAAATGTTTTTAGAGGCATTCTGTCTTTTCTTTTGAAACTATGCCAATTTCAAAACTAATGTATTTGTATGTAAAAGGTTTCAGCATGAAGAGGAATACATTGTAGGGGTGGGAATAATGATAACATTGCTGTAATGACAGGAGGTGAAATATTGGAGGATCTTTCTATCCTCTCTCCCACATACAGACACACTGGACACAGTTGCGTGTTTGATGCCTATTAACACGTGTGGATGCTTACCTGGTGTAACAATAGTAGACACGGGCACACTTTCCAAATTACCCTTGGTAGTAAAGACACTGACGTTGTACTCTGCCCCAGGATTCAGGCTCTCTAGCATGCATGAGGTTTGATCAGCTCGGACAAACTCTTCCAGGGAGTTTCCTCTCTGGCCGTTGGTCGGCGTGCTTGTCACTCTGTAGCCTGTGATACCTGCCAAGCGTGGGGGCACATGACAAATATGGAGGAGATAGAACATAATGTCAAGAGGTTTTTGCAATTTATGAGTTACTTTGAGAAATGAAAAGGAAATACCGGGAAGAGACGTTTGTCCAAGTAAAAAAAAACATTTGCAGGCCAAGGTCTAGACTTGGAGTGATCCAATGGGCTGGCAGTGCGTGGGGAGCACAGTCAATATTTACCTGGTGTTTTGGAGGCTACCCAGTGGACAGTGAGATCTCCTGTGTCCGGACTGGACTCCACTCTAAGGTCAGTGGGAGGAGACAGGGCTGCAAGAAGAAGAAAGCAGATCATGACACAAGCATTAGAAACCTGATTTGATGCAGCGCTAACGTCTTACACAAACTCTCGCCAGATAGTTAGAGCAGTAATATGTGGACCCACAGCAGCATGAAATCCAGATGGTGATCAGTTATACAACTTTTTGGGTGTCTGTTTTTCAGTTAAAGTGATATAGATACGCACAAGTGACAACGTTGCGGGTGATGGGGTTTCCACGATTGCGTCCATTGAAGATGGGCTGAACGCTGTAGGTGTACTGAGTTCCAGGAATCAGACCGGGAATATAAATACGACCAGTGTCAGAGGTCTGTTCTTTGGGAGACTCGCCTTCCTCGCTGGGGAGCACAGACAGCTGGGAAGAAGGATGCAGACATACAGAGATCAGAAACCTAAAAAAAACACTTAAAATATACCACAGCAAAGACATTAAATACACTTTTTGGCCATCTAGGGACAGCGCAACATGCTGTAAACACAACACTGACATATTATCACCTTATAATACTGAAATGGCACTTTAGCAAACAGTTGCCTATTTACATATCTAGCAGACACAGAGAGACAGCATTCATTTAGAGTCAAAGTGCAATATTCACTCTCTTTGGTGGTGATTTGACCCACTCATAGTAAAAAATATTAATCAGAGCAGCTTTTTGTTAATTTTGTTTAATGATGAGGGATGCATGTGTCTACCTTGTAGCTGAACCTGCGGAGAGGTATCCAGGTGACAATGATAGAGGTATCAGTGACCTCAGTGCTAAAAGGAGGAGCATTTCCCATCTGGGGAGCTGGGAGGAGGACAAAATGGGGGAAAATAACATTAAATTCATTGCAACAATTTACTCTGCTTTCTGCTGATGTTTCTCTTTGTCGTAATACTGACTGGTGGTAAAATGTGTAGTGACAGCCTTGCTGAGCTCATTGTCCAGCTCAGAGTGGAAGGTGGCAGTGTACTGGGTGTCTGGACGCAAATTCCTCAAGGGGAACTGGCTGACACTGCCCGGGATCCTCTTCTCAATGGGGTTGGAGCCCTCGATGCTCAGGTAGAGACGGTAGCCACTGACGATGGCACGGGGAGCCTCCCAGATGACCAATGCACTGTCGGAGCCGATGTCAGTGAAACGGACATTGGAGGGCGAATCAGGTTCTGGAAGGTAAGAAATTATAACTCTCATGTTTTATATTTTGTTCTAATTCCTCTGTCTATTTTGGGTTTGTTTGTCCATGGTGATACTTACTGGTAGACTTTTCTCCCACAAGGGGCTTGCTCTCCACTCCATCATTGATGGCATAGATATAGAAGCGGTACAGTGTTCCCGGCTGCAAGTGGGTGATATCAGCATATGCGTTGGGTGAGATGGGCAGCGGCAGGGGCCTTGTCTCAGTGCCATCAGGACCAACAGGGGAGAAGGTCACTTTGTAACCAGTAACCTCACTGGGTGGACCGGTCCAGGTGATGGTGATCTTTACATCTGAAACCTCATAGAACTGCAGGTCTGTGGGTGCCGGGACCTCCTCTGTGGAAAGGAAACAGCAGATTGATTGACACAGGGCATTACAGAATCAGACTTACAATTACCCATTGGCATTTTGGCCACTAGTAACACCATGGAGTAGTGTTTTTATGAGTGGCTCCCATTTTGTTTGAAGAAACAACATGCACTTAACATGTTTGTTAGGCCTCAAGGATACACACAATGTGTTTTGGGGGAAAATACTGAAAAAAAACACAACTTTATTTACAAAAAACTCCACAGGGCACAAAACAAAATCTGTACGATAAAAGGCATTAACTATTTCCAGGCTGAGATATTTACAAATCTTAATAATAATGCTAATAATGGCTCAGATATGGCAGAAAATGTTAGACCAGACATGGGTAAAAACAAATTCAGAGCCATTTTCTACAGCCTCTGTTCTGTTTCTTGAGCATAATGAAACAGTTTTCCAGTGTCAGGCACAAGGAGCAAAGAGTCAGAAATGGAAATCCAATATAAGATATACTGAGGATTTATGAAGTGTGTGTGCCTTTGTGTGGGTGTGGGCTGTGCATGCATGCTTGCCTTTATCAGTGTTTTAACTCCATCTGAAGTTAAGCTTGTTTCTGAGCTCACCATGAATTAAAGAGAGTTCATTCAGGGGCCACCGTAGAATAAGATAAAGATAAGAAGACTAGGAAAAACTATTGCGATGGTATAGCTAGAGCTGTAAAAGCCTATTTTGACAAAGCAATGTTTTGACAAGCTCAGTCTTTCCCAAATACTGCCAAGTCCTTCCTAAAGCTCCCCGGCCCTATAAGGAATCTTTAGCTGCAAGTATAAACTTAATCTTCCCAGCTTTCACTGATAGCTAAAAGACAAAGAATGATCTCAAGAGATTCCTTTATCATCTAAAAAACAGAATAATACACTGAATGTTTTCATTCGGCCTATTACGAGGCACTAAATTACATAATCTATGAAGCATTTTTTAACTAAAAAATCTGTTTAAAAATGTGCACCTGGTTGTGGAGATCCGGCAGTGTTGACCTGTACAAAAACAGGCTCACTCTCCTGGTTCTCTTCCACAGCATAGATGCTGATGTTGTAAAGAAGACCGGGGCGAAGGTCAACCAGGTTCACTGAGGTCTCAGATTCAGGCAGGGTCAGCTCAGTGCTGCTGCCTTCCACTGATGGTGTGTAAACCACACGGTAGCCTGGTAGGCACAAACATACCGTTAGACACAGCCAGAATACTCTCTACGTATATCAAACTACTAATTTGAATCAAATAAACGCTCATACAGATGCAAGTTAGTTACCAGTAATAGGAGCCTGAGGTCTGGACCAGCTGATTCGAATGGAGGTCTCTCCCACCTTATCTACTGCATGCTGAGCAGGGGTGTCAGGAGCTGGGGTAAAGGAAAAGAATGGGACTCATTCAGGTTGTATTATGTGCAAAAATCTACAACATTTGCATAATCCTGAATTTATTGTCATGACAAAGAGGAAGAGAGGGATTCTCCCACCTGTAGTCTGGGAGGTAGTCAGAATAAGGTTTGGCTCTCCCTGAGTTGGAAGCTCATAGACGTTGACATTGTATCTGCGTCCTGGCAGGAGGTCACCGATAGTGACAGAGGTGGATGTGCGTGGAACATCTGGAGAAGCAGACAAAGTTTGTTAATACTGTAATAATGTATATTGTGATTTTGCGGTACCTTTTATACCATGGTAGCTATGTCTTATATTTCTTGGTGACTGAGACCATTTTGGGCAATGCTGTAATCAGTAAGAAGGGCTGCCTAATGGCAATACTAGATAGGATAAGATAAGATTTTTGTGCCTTGACTCACCAGGCATTTAATTGGCTGGATTAGCCAAGAAACAAATTCACTTTTTCAGTTATTTTCCAGAAAATGTACAATATGACAATATTGATCAATACCACGATAGAGAATTTTATCCATATTGCCTACTCCTAATATAATTGCATCACAGCATGTATTACAACAAGTCTGTTGTTCACATTTAACCTGAGATACGTCAGTCAGAACCTTAACAGTAAAAGTACCCAATAAATTAATCCATTCAAATATTTGCATGCAACATTATGGAGGCATTAAGTTTCGGTAATGGTCATAGGATCTCACCCAGGACATTTGGCTGGGCTCCCTCCTCACTGAGCTCATACTCCACTCTGAAGCCGGAGATGGTAGAGGAGGCTGATGTCCAGGATACAACAAAGCTGTTTGAGGTGATTTCTGTCACCGACTCAGAAGTGTCCATCACTGGAGCAGGCACGGTCGTCTCTCCCTCCGATGTCTCCACTTGAAAGGTAAAGAGATATAACGTTCCTGTGATTTTTTCTTCGGATCTGTGGCATTGAGAAAATGTTACTGCTCAAGTTTACTCACAAGAACCATGGGTAGTGGTGAAATCAAAGCGTGTGACCTCGCGGCGTCCATAGCGCAGGATACTGATCAGCTGACCCTCGTAGGTGATGCCTGGACGCAGCCCACTGATGGTGTAGGAGTTGAGGTGGCCAGGGACAGTGACCTCTTTCCAGGGCGCACGGGTATTTTTCTAACAGGACAGGTAAAAAGATAAAAACTTAATGGGTTTTAAGTCGAGTTTTAATTGCATATGCATAAATTGAAGAGCTGATAATCTTCATTTGCTGATGAAGATCATGTGATATAATCGAAAGTCTTTTTCCCAGCTGCTCAGATCTGAACCTCAGTTTTTAACCATGGACAGGAATACCTTAAGTGCTCAGGAAAAATGGAAATTGTTGTGAAATTATGTTACAGAACTAGGAAAACTCTATCTGCTGATGATGACCACGTTATATAATCGAAAGCTCCAGTTACCCTGTGGTGAGATAGTTTTTTTCCACCAGAATGAATCTGATTTCTAAAGTCTTGATGGTAAGCAATCAAACTTTTTGACAGCACAGACACATTAAAATATGTGAAAAAATTAGAGATTTATTGTAATCATTCCTTAATTGAGAAACTTAAGACTTTATGCAGTAGCTTGTATAATTTGGACTGGACACTGGCTCAGACCCATTTACTGCTACATCCTGATTTAGGAGTGTTTAGACTGGCTTCACACTTCATTGGAAAACTACAAGTTTTCACAGCAGGAGGGCCAGCTGAGGGCTTTTAGTGACTTTGCAGTCCAAAATATACAAACCCCTTTAGAGGAAATAGTTTCGACTTCAATTAGGCTTCATAAACATTTCAACCAGCTTGTCAGTCTTTGAGGTCTTCAAAGAGGAAAAAAAATCACAGGGACGGGAATATTTTCATTGGATTCTGCTAAAAAGTGTGTGTTTGTGTATGCAGACTGTAAAGGGGGGATCATGTACCCTCTAATCACCTTGTTTGTCTGTGCATGAACTTCAGTCAACGTTACCAAAAGCACTTGACCTCATTCAGACTGTTTTCTCACTAATCAGCAAATTTAAAACACCCGTTTGAGGAAAAAAATGAGGGCTCACATGACAATTTCTAACTTGCATTTAAAACCAAAAGAGGGACTCACAACTCTCCATTTGAGGATATACTGGGTGATGTGAACAGATGAAGGGGGGTTCCACTGAATGGGGTGGGAGTCTGGCTGTTTCCCTGCCTCTGTGATGATCACCTGGACAGGTCTGTGGCCGTCTGAGGAGTAAGAGAGAAGATTTAGGAGAAGAGATCAGGAGAGACACGAACAAAGATGCTATTAGCAATGAGAAAAAGGCTTGCACGTTGTCAAAGACATATAATATAGAGTGTGGGTGAAAGTTGGCTACTTTTTGGTGAGGCTCTGTCAGACAGATTCAACATTTTTGGGACAAAACCAAACCACCAGACGGTGCCAAACCAGCTCAAACCCCCGCTGACATCTTACAGTGTGACATAACACTTAAGTACTATATTCATCACAGTTTATCTAGCCTCTGTACCCCCCAAACACACACACACATATAGCTTCAAACTCCTTGCTCTGTACACTCACAAACACACTTTCCTCTTCCACTGTTCATGGCAAGATAAATGTTGCAATTGTACCTTTTTTTGGTCTCAGGACAAACAATGTGCTGCAGTACAAAGTACCACATTAAGCAACTTTTACTCAACCAGAGGGAGAGGCAGGAAGTGTGTTTAAGGGATAACCCCCCCCCCATCCATTCCCTTTCCCCTCAGCAGGTCAGTACAACAACATCAAGTGGGGGAGGAATAACCTCTTCAACTACAAAGACCAAGAGGAAGACGGGGGTGATGTGATTGGCCGACACTTCTCCATTTGCCATGCCAGTCTTCAAAGTCGAGAAAAACTCAACCCCCCCTTTCCCTCCTCTAACCTGGCGAGTGAACTTTCCGTTTCAGTGACGTGTGATGGGAGGTTAGGGGTAGGTGAGAGGAAGGAGGTCAATAACATAGAGAAGTTGAATAAGTACAGTAAACAAATTAAGCACTCACAGTTGACTGACTCAGGTGGAAAAGTTGCAAGAAAGGACTGAGGGGCATTGAAGTAATTAACAAAAAAACCTTCAATATGCTTCCTAATTAAATAATAATTCTTGTTTGCCATGATAACTGCTTTTCATAATTGTTTTAACTGTTTGCAAAATGAGGCAGATCACCTCAGACATTTGATTATCTTGTAGTCTGCAGAAGTTTGGGATTTAAATCTCTCAGTCCCCCAGTTGACACTCAGACCAGCCTGGATTTATCACAATTATATCAAACATTTGACGTTGAGGTTAAAATCTCAACACAGCTAAGCTATATTTGTTTCAATTTTAAGCAAATTTGCACCATTAAAAGTCATGCCAACTTAGATATTCACAGGTCCTGTTTGCACTCTAACACAAATGTACAGACAGCTATCACTAGATTATTTTAATTCTGATAATTCGGAAGAAAACTTGCAGGAAGAGCTGAACAGGGACTGCCTTTTTTGTATGATTTTTAAGCGGATTTACGAACATTTATCTGTAATGGACACCAGAGATATAGAAGTGAAAAGTGTAAGTCATGCTAAATCTAAGTGCATCATGTCTGCATGTTTGGATTATGATTGCATCAGTAAGCCACTAATTTAAGTCTTGTGGTTCACTTTTGTTGTTATGTGATATATATTAACACTTAAACCACCAACCATCAGTCCACTTATGGCCCATGTGTGCATCTATATCATCCGTATTTAAATACCATGTGGACTTTTTCTACCTTGGTAGGTCTGCTGAGGTTCACATCTCATCTCTCCAATTCCGTTGCCATAGCAATAACAGCGGTAGTGAATGTTATGGATGACTTTGTCCCATGTCTCTCCAATCTGGTGGAACGCCCTGGTCTGTGGCTCCTGACACTGATCTATTGCAGAAAACAGAATAAAACGAAAGAGTTGATCGGACGGGACAGAGAAGGGTGGGGTTGTGATTCTCAGCTGAAATATTAACATAGCATTTTAATTCCCAGACAGCTGAGCTAATGAGCCATGACCGCACCAATAGCGTCACACTTCCAGCGTCCACGTCCCTGTCCAAAGCAGGTGCAGTTCATCATGTAACCCTCATCGTGGCGCTTGGGGAATTCTTGGTTTACTTCATAGGACAAGCCATCAACAATGCACTGATCTGGATATGTAAAAAAAAAAATAAAAATAAAAAAGTCAATATATAGGAGTAAAGTCAATATAAAACTTTTATGCTCTGTTGTCAGGTTATACTACATCACTACTGTAATGGCTTCGATTTTAAAGACTTTAAAGAGTTTTTGCTCTCTGACCTCGCAGCTGTGAGTGAGCAACGCAGCTCCACTCCCCACGGCCGTTGCCCAGACATGTGCACTCCATCATGTGACCCAGGACATCATGGCGTTTGTCCCACTTGTCTCCTACACGGTGCATCGCTCCATCGCTGGTGGTACACAGCTCCTCATGGGCTACATAAAGAAAAAGAGGAAAAAAGAAGTTAAAAACAATGAGTTTGCCCTGTGTGCTTGTAGTGTTTGAGCATTTGCAGTTAATCCCGTGTCACAAATATGTATGTAATCAAATTCTGTTATGTAACAACCCTGACAGTCATCACTCTCCCATGACCATAAACCCTCTCTTCTTAAACGTCAGTTGTTGTGTCTGCAAGTAACCCATGCACCCAAACAATCATTAATATCACTCACCAGCCATGGGACAGAATCCATAGCGCTGCTCTGTGTCGTAGTCGTGGGTGGTACCGCACCACCTCATGCCATCACGACGCCCATCAGAGGTGCAGTCAGTGTAGTTACGGCCACTGTAGAGGAAGGGGAAGTGGCACAGGGCGCCATTGGAGTTTCCACCTCGTGTTGCCACAATAGCTGGAATAAAGAGTGAAACATAACAGTTACCGAATATCGCTGATTTGGTTACCTATCTAACTATACTACCATGTCCTGTACTCTTTAGAGTTTGGGGACTGTGATTTCTTGCGAATATTTGCACCAATATTCTGTATCTTGAATTATACCAATGATACATTAGGACTTAAGTGTAAAAATAATTAACATGAAATCACAAATGAACAAGTAAATTAAGTTCCATTGCAATTTTTACATACTTTTTAAGGGTAAGATATTGAGAGAGAATCCTAAGTAAACTGGTGGTAGATGACATTGACTGGTAAAGCTAAATAAAGGGCCAACACCAATAAAATGGCTGAGCCTAGGTTTACATCCCTGTTCCCGAGTCTCACCATTCTTCTCAGTACAGAAAGAGTACTGCTGATCTTTCTCATAGTCTGAGGTTGTAGAGCACCAGAGCTGCCCATCTGTGCGTCCGTCTGAGGTGCAGGAGTAGTAGGTCTTTCCCATGAAGACGAACGGGAGTGCACACGGTTGACCGTTAGAGTTGCCACCATATGCCTGGTTCCTGGCCTCTGCACAGACAGGAGAGGGAAAAGTGAGAAAATGGTAATGGTAGTGAAGACGACACAATGTGCATCTAACAAATATGATTATCTGAGTGTAGTGACATGAATTTAGGAGCTCTAAAATGTATTTCACATCAAGGAAACCCAGTTAGAAACATAACTTTTAGCTTTTGTTTTGAAAAACACACAAAATCAGAGTAAAAATCATAATAATTCCTGTTTTCCCTACTGACACCCCTGATGTTCTTCTCTCCCTCCTGTACTCACCCCACTCCTGACAGCTGACTCCATTTCCCAGACAGGTACATAGCATCTGCTTGTTGCCCTGGCTTCTGAACCACTCCTGTCCGTCGTAATAGGAGGCTCCAGAATCTGTGCTGCACGTCCCCTCCGTGGGGGAAGTGCGGGCGGGGGTCACCACGACAGCACCTGTGGCTATATACCACCAAACAGAATGAAAGAATGATGAATATCAGGGCTGTGACTGTGAGAAGTTTGGAAAAAAAGTTTTTGCCATTTCTAGCTAAACTGAACATGACCAACAGTTAAGATTTTGAGTCTCACCTCTGCCTGCGTTGTGTCTTTCACACTTCCACTCTCCACGGCCATTTCCTAAGCACTGACACTGCAGGGCTTGTCCACTTGTGTCCGTCTTTGTCCATGTGTCTCCGATACGGTAGGACCTCCTGGTGTCCTGGTCGTTGCAGCGGTCTGGTTGGAGAACAACAGTGGTCAATTAGCTGGCACTCAAGCATAAAAAAGTGTGTGTTCATGTGTGCGTGTTTATATTCTTCTTACTCCTTGAGGTGCATGTGATGCGTCCATTTCCCTCTCCCAGACAGGTACAGTCGAGCATCATCCAGCCTTGGTACGGTTTCTCCCAGGTCTCCCCCACGACGTAAGATGATGCAGCACTGTTGTCGTAGCAACGCTCAGCTGTACAGAAAACACAGGAGATCTTTCATTTATTGCATGCGCAGATTGTAACAAGATACTGTAAGATCTGACTTGAAATCATAATCCCCTAATCAGTCAGTCTGAATCACCACAGACATTTCCAGTAGAAAACCAGCTGATAGTAAAAATCAATAGCTGTAGCATAAAATGGGCAAAGAGGAGAGGCGTGCTCTCTCGCACACTTACCTTATTTGTCTGGACTGTTAAATATTTACAATGGTATCAAACACAGTCATGCTTCTGAGAAATTACCCCGTCTGTAAGTTTGTGTGTGTGTATGTGTGTGTGTGTGTGTGTGTGGTGGCAGCTGATATATTTCAGAAACATTTTGACATTTGTCTGAGTTCATATGGAAACCGTTGACAGCCTGGTTTCCCTGCAGGTTTAAATTTATGAGGTGAAAGTACTCACCCACAGGTTTGCAGGTCCACTCTCCTTTGCCATTTCCGAGGCACACACACTCCAGCATGTAGTCAGCAGTGTCATGAGGCCTCTGCCAAGTGTCCCCAATTTTATAAGATCTTCCACCCTCATGGCAACGATCTGTGATTGACAAAATGTAGGAGTTCCATTAAAAATATGTCCTTAATTATTCATTATAACACATATTTATCATTCAAATTTTATATTAAATTAATTAAACATTTAATTAAAAACATCCTGTGTTTTCCAATGGATAAACAGAAGCAGAGAACATACACAAACATCATGACAAATCAAGACAAACCACTTCAATTTGAATTTAACTCAGTTAATATGTCCATGCCTAGTGTTGAACTACAGGTAGTTTAGTATTCTGGTTACTCACTTGCAATAGTACAGCTGATCTTTCCCCGACCAGAACCAATGCATGTGCAGTCCCATATCATCCCGTCCTTAGGTCTCTCGTAGGTTTCACCGACCCGGTATGTCCGGTCTTTGTACTTATCATAACAGGACTCCTCATCTGAGGGACAAACAGAGGAAACACTGAAAGGTTAAGACGCTGTTATTGTGAACCTATTGTGGATATTTCTCTCGTTGCGTAAAGACGCACATATGAACAAGAGCATATTTCAATCGGTTCCCAAGTTGTTGTTTTTTAAAGTAAATCAGGGGTTTTTTTTAATCATGGTGTGATATTTATTGTAGTTGTTGGTATTGACACAAACGTTCTGAAACAAGAGATAATGGAGTGAGGCAACTCCTGTATCCCAAACCAAAGTCAGTTTTCACTCCAGATGTGAAAAGTGAAAAGAAATGGTCTGCTAAGACATTTCTCTGTTAAACCGGTTGGTCTCTCACTGACCTTCAGGCTTAGTGTTACATTTGATGCCTGCTGCTCCATTGCAGGTGCACACCAGTGTCCTACCAAGGTAGGGTTTCTCCCACTGCTCGTTTGGTCTGAATGATCGACCGTTTTCCTCACAGCCGACTATAGAAATAACATAATAAGAATTCTGTTACAGAAAGATTAATTATTTACATTTGCTGTAGAATGGTCGTTTTTGTTTGATTTGGCTGTAGGATGGCCATTTTGGTTTGATTTGGCTCATCCCAAAAGAAACATGACAATAAATTAATGCAAAATAAAATAATTTATGAAAAAGTTACTGTAAACTCGATGCACTTTGGCCCAACACGCACTAGAAATCACTTTACAATGCAGGGAAAAAAACATATTTAATTTTTTACACATTAAAGATAACTAAACTCAAGAAAACTTTAAAAATGTGAGTCCTTGTATACCAACCTGGAGTAACAGCGGCTGGGTCCTGGAGCTCGGGATACACCTGATACTGGCCAGTTTGTCTTTTGCTCTTCTTTGGCAAGCCGTGGACTGCGCTGCTTACGCACAGCGCAACCAGTAACCCTGTCAGTGGGCTACGAGTCATTTTGTGGAAAAAAAAAGATTTCAAGGTAAAGTAGAAAATGATTTGTTAACAAAGCAAGTTTTAAAAAAGAAGCGAGTGCAGAATAAAAGTTTAGTTTGGAGAGATCTAATTTCTGTCCCTTTGTGTCCGCTCCACGCTGCCACCTCGCAGCTGGTGCACCAGACTGAGGAGAGGGGAGCGCACTGGTTTTATACCCGGGCACACCGCTGCAGCCCATTGAAGGGGAGGGCTTTGACTGGAGCTTGGATGACCCGCCCAAGTTTGCAACACTGAGGTTCGACACTTCACTTTCAATGAACAGAAAGAAGCCAAAAGACAAGACCAAACATCTGGTTATACAGATGAATGCGCATCTGAAGTCTGTTCATTGCAGAGATCCGTTAAGGTGAGATGACACCAGGATCCTGCTGTGATGGAGAAATGACATGCACCATATTAATAAATCACAAACTACAGCTGACTAGAAACTCAAATGAAGTAGCAGACTGACTATAGATCTTAGTCCATAAGAAATAGTGATGTGTTATCAGGGCTAAATCAGGGCTTTTCTGGGAATCTGTAAGATTAATGTTCAAGTTAATTAACCCTGCAATGTGAAAATGTCCAAAGCAAGCAACAATTAAATGTTCTTTATGACTTTTAAAATTACTATAAAAACACCTATAACATGTATATAATTTGTTAAAGCACTTTCAGTTTCCCAAATATTGCTACAACAATTATCATAATATAATAATATATCTATAACTTTAAAGTTTTTTTAAATCATGTGTAGGCCAATGTGATATACTAGCAAATACAGTAAGTGTACTTTGCTGCTTCCTGGGCAAAAACTTCCAGGGGCTGAGCACAGCAGCTTGTTGATGAATGAGGAGTAGTGTAACTCCAGACTGTCTGTCCTGCTGCTGTCCAGACAGGAGTTCACCATAATGTATTTCTGTCCATGTTGAGAGATCAAACACAATCATCATCATTTTTGTTAAGTCTGTTGAGTCATTGCTCGAAAGCATTTTTCCATCATTTCCTCATTTGTTAAAGATTAGTTTAATTTTTTTAGATAACACATTGACTAGAAATGTCTACTTTAAGGTGTCACAAAAATGTGTCAATTAAATCTGTGCCTTATCAGTATTACTTAACAGTCTTACCGCAATCATATTCACCTCCCACCTCATATACATACTCACACTCCCCCTCTTTCCCCTCCACCTGCTCTACATCCATCTCTGTGTATTTGCTTTCTTCATTTGTCATCTGTCTGGTTTAGCCAAATGTTTATAAATTACAGAGAAAAAAGATTCTCTCACATCCATAATTTATATTTGGTCTGCATGACATTTCCAGGCAAAAACATGATCTTCTATTTTAATGTTGGATAGTACAATGTCCCATTTGAAACCTGGTTGTACTTCTGCTCATAAACTGACTAAAATAAGCTACTTATAAGTATGAGGTATCAAGGAAATATATTTCTGTTTTTGAAGACAATTAACTGTATTCTGAAGAATTTAACATAATAAATGTGTTTTGTAATTAAATGCATCACATCACAGTCTGGAACCTAATTAACTACTCGAATTACCAATATTCCTCTAATGCTCTGCAAATTTAGCAATGCATTTGACGCTGATCACACATCACATATAAATTTACACTTGAGTGAGTTGTTTACATTCAACAGGCTATTTTTATGGCTGCGTGTTTGCATTCAATGGATAATTCCAGATGCATAGTACAACAATATAATATGTATTTGTATATTGCACACTTTACCCTGCCATTAAGCCCAATATACTGTAGTTTGTATTGTGTTTAAAACTTGGCATGTTGTAGCATAAAACAAAATCTGTGGTTTAACTGTCTTCACATGGTTGATGGTTGGTTGGTCATAGCTAAGTACCCATCAAGTGTCTGTGGGATTCATTTATGGGAAGTTAATTTCTCTGCCAAGAAATAAAATGTTTTCAAAAACAATGTGCAAAAGGATAAAAAAATAATAAAACTGACCACAGCACGCTGCATTGGTCTTGTCATGGTGCAGGAGCTGCTGGTTCCACTAAACTTACTCATGGTTCTGGTCTGGAGAACAGCTACCGTGTGTGAGACTGCGATGTATGAATTCCTGTCAAAGGGCTTATGGAACGAGTTGTAACTGACAGCTAAAGAATAAAACAGATGGTTTTGGGAAGACAGAGGAAGAAAACAGCAAAAACACTGTCCTTGTTTTTAAAGTGAGTGCAACTGAGTCACAAATCTCTCCCGTGTGGAAAAAGCCTCCACATACTTTCCACTTGTGAAACAGCTCCAAACTTTGGAAGATCAAAACACACAGTTTCAAGCTGCAGAATCTTAAGTGTTACTTTCAAAAGTCTAATTTTCATATTTACTGATGTCATGCAACACATTTATCCTGAAATGTGCACTTATGCAGTATAGGCAGGAACTGGTGCTATGTATAAATATTTGTGAACAAAAGAGACATTCAGTTCCTGCTAGAATGGTTTTCATGGCTTAATTTCCTGGGCTGTTAGGTTTCACTATCAGATTTATGAGCTGTCTCCATCGAAGCCTCTGGAAGACTGCCTGGGTTATGTCAAAGTGAATAACTTCATCTCTTCTCTCTCTGTCTTCCATACATAACATACATAGATCAACAAAACGTATCCCCTCTCTGCTTGTTTTCACAGTGATTTCTTGTTTACCTTCATTGTGAGTGATTTGTATTTGGGAGCTTAGTGGGGTGAAAACCTGATCCGATCATCCTTGAGAACTGGAACTGGTACAACTGCAGAGTATACCATGTAGTGTTTCAGATTTTGTTTTCCTACTTTTCTGTTGGTCGGGGTCACAAGTTAGACAATCAATTGTAATTAACATGGCATCTGTATTTATTGTTTCCAAGTTCCATTACTACGGAAGCGTATTGCATTCACTTAAAAATTTATGTTTTGGTTTGTTTTTCGGAGTAATTATTTGTGTTTTTCGGAGTAATTTAGAGAGCATTTGAAATGATAGACACATTCATTCCTTTATTGAGAGCTCGATTTAACGGAAACAAACATGACCGGCTTGTTTAGTTCAATCAAGTTTTACTTTGATCTGGGTTTAAGACACT